GACGGAGGGCGGCCCGCTTTCAAACTGCGGCTCTGGCTTTGAACAAAGAACTTGCATCACATCAGCACGTTCAAGGATGTACGGTGGGCCTTTCAAAGCAAATGTTGTTATCGCCTTTGCGCCGCGCGCATTCGTTCCAAAAGCTTACAACCGGTTCAAGGATGGAGGATAGCCTTGCTTCAAAACTTGGTTCTTGCCCCAGCACCGAGCACATGCGTTGTAAACGCTTGCGCCTGTGTCAGGGATGCGTATGGTTGAAATCCCCGGAATGGCGTTCTGGCGCGATTCAGGTGTGCCAGAGCGCAGCTGAATAGTTGAGTTGCGGTGTTGGGTCCCTTGATGCGTGCTCTCGCGCCGTTCAGGAGTGTCAGGACGCAGCAGCCCCCGTCGATTCGCAGCGTTGCAGTCCCAGGATTGGTGTTCGTGCACGGGGGGCCTGTGAAGAGAGAGTTCGGAGGGACCTGCGATCAGGGCACCTCCCGTGATGAACAGAAGTCACGGTGGAGGCCCAAGAGGAGGGAGCTGGGAGGGAGGCGTGATTGCAACATCGTTGATGCGTCTTGGGCTTGCACTGGTCCTCCTCCTCCGTCTTCATGTCACCTGCCGAGGGGTGGGCGGAGGGGGAGGAGGAGGAAGGAGGAGGAGGAGGAGAAGGAGGGAGGAGGAGGAGGAGGAGGAGGAGGAGGAGCCGCGCGGGGGCTCAACCATTTGTGCGCCGCAGGGACGAGGTTAACTTCGTCAGCGAACGTCTCGAGGAATTGGTGCAGTGGTCGGCATCTGTTGCATCATCCACGGGACGTCCCTTCGTTCGGCGGCAGGCGCGGCTCACCCCAGACATCCGTGGAATCGGACCGCCAACCGATGCATCGTGTGAGCAGCAGTAGTGCCCATGTCACGGTTGTGCGCGCGCGTCTTGCATTCAGTGTTCTGCAAGTGTAGTTGTCTTTGTAAGTGTGTGTGTGGGTGTGATTTTACCGCTTGCATCGCAGCTTGTGCTGCTGTAGTTGTCTCTGAAGCTAACGCGCGCACACCTCTCTGAACCCAAAAGTCTTGTTGTATTTCGATTGTGTGCGTTCAGGCCGCTTGCCTCACATGCGTTGCCGCGCTGTTTCAGTGAATGATTTGCGTGCCCTCTCACATTCGACTGAGAGGTTGACCAACCACAGTGTTGTGTATCATGTTTCCCCTCTGTTGCCAGAGGCAGACTTGCATATAGCAGTGTTATAGTTTCGTTGTGAACTCGTGTATTGCCTCTGGTGCCTCGGGATGTGCGGCGACGATGATGAGGAGAAGTGAGGAGGGAGGAGGACGAAGGAGGAGAAGGGGGGGGGGGGAGGAGGAGGACGAGGAGGAGGAGGAAGGCGGAAGAGGGAGGAGGAAGGCGGAGGAGGGGAGGAGGAGGAGGAGGAAGGAGGAGAGGGGAGGAGGAGGAGGAGGAGGAGAGGCGAGGAGGAGGAGAGGAGGGGGGGGGAGGAGGGAGGAGGTGGGGGGAGCAGGCGGAGGAGGGGGCCCTTCCCAGAATCCTGCAGGAGGGAGGAGAGGAGGGGGAGGAGGAGGAGGAGGAGAGAGAGGAGGAGGAGGAATGAGGAGGGACGAGGAGGGAGGAGGAGGAGGAGGAGGAGAAGGAGGAGGAGGAGGAGGAGGAGGAGGAGGGAGGGAGGGAGGGAGGGAGGAAGGAGGAGGAGGAGGACGAGGAGGGAGGAGGCGGGAGGAGGAGGAGGAGGAGGAGGAGGAGGAGGAGGAGGAGGAAGGACGGGGCCCTTCCCAGACTCCCGCAGGAAGGGGTCGAGCGGGTCCGCGGTCCCGTGGGCCCGACCTCGAGGGGGGCCGCGGGCGGGCACCCCTCTGGAGGTCTTAGATGAGGATGCCTTCAGTAAAGAAGCCTGCCTTCCTTCCTTCCTTCCTTCCTTCCTTCCTTCCTTCTTTCCTTCCTTCCTTCCTTCCTTCCTTCCTTCCTTCGTCGTCGTCCTCCTCCTGCGAATCCGCCTGCTCCTCCTCGATACCTTCGGTAAGGAAGCATTCCTTCCTTCCTTCCTTCGTCGTCGTCTTCCTCCTCCTCCTCCTCCTCCTGCGGATCCGCCTGCTCGTCCTCGATGCCTTCGGTAAGGAAGCCTTCCTTCCTTCCTTCCTTCCTTCGTCGTCGTCCTCTTGCTCCTCCTGCGGACCCGCCTGCTCGTCCTCCTCCAGTGTAGCGGACCTGGAATTCCAACAAGGACCCCATCGAGCCACGGCAGCATAATGACGGGGTCCTTCTCGGAGTTCCAGGTCCGATGTGGCACGCGCCCGCGGGCAGAGAAGAGGTCGGCGCCGTGGGGGGGGACGTTCGGGAGGCGCGGGATGCCAGATACGGCGCGAGCGCCGCTGTGGACAGGTCCCCAAGGACGAGCAGGTAGCGCACAGGCCACGATAGCAATGTCGTCCGCTCTGGCCGCTGCCCCCTCCTTCATGCGAAGCGATGGGCGGCCGGACGTGGGCCACCCACCTCGCCCTGAAACAGGAGGGAATGCGCCGGGGCCTGGGCCCCAGGAAGGCGTTCCTTGTCCACTGCCGCCGCCGTGCCCACATCCGCGGGGTCGCGGAAGAGGAGGAGGAGGAGGAGGAGGAGGAGGAGGAGGAGGAGGAGGAGGAGGAGGAGGAGGAGGAAGAGGAGGAGGAGGAGGAGGAGAAGGAGGAGGAGGAGGAGGAGGAGGAGGAGGAGGACGTCAGAGCCTGCCCGCCCCGCCCCGCCGGCTGGAAAAGGCCCCGGTCGCCCCACCTGCTTTGTTGGGCGCGCTCTTCACCGATAGAAAGAGGACCCCTGACCCCAACAACACTCGGGCCGGACGAAAGGGGGGGATTGGGAAAGGGGGGGGGTACGAAATTATCTGCATGCAGCTGGTTTCGGCCCCACCGAGGGGCCCATTCCTCGATACATCAGCGCCCCCGGCGCCGGAAAGCGCCGGGAAAATCAGCTACGTGAGCTGATTCTCAAACCCCCCTTTTGCTATCCCCCCCTTTCGCCCGACCCGAAACACGATGAAGACGTCATGGCGCCAACATCGCAGAGCGCAGTTCGCTCGGCAAGCGATCGGATGGGCTTGGAGTGTCGTGGAGAATTTCGTTCCGGGCTTCGAGGTGAATCTCGTGCGGTTCTCTTGGCCAGGAATGAAGACTTAACAAACATCCGCGCGAAATTAATTTCGTTCCACTCGCCGTTTCGGGTTTTTCATTGGCAGATTCCCGCGCAAGAATCCGCTGCAGCACGTCTGCAAGGTCGGTGCAGTGATGAAGACGCGGCCTCACCTTTGCCCCCGTCTTCGCATTAGGGACAAGAGATATGGGCGGTTTGGTCCGCTACATCTGCAGACACGACCCCCTCAATCCTTATTGTTGGCCCTCCTCACTTAGGTCTCCTCCCGAAGGACTAGGGGGACTCGTGCTGCTTATCAGCTCACCTGCCCCGAAGCCCGACCGCCCACCCCGCCCGGTGGGGCCCGCCCGCCCCGCCCGTCCGCCCGGGCCCGCCCGCCCGCTCCTTGCCCCGCCCCGCCCCTGCGGGCCGCGGGCTCGCCCCGCGCCTGGAGCATGTGTTTCTTGAGATTCAGGCAAGTCTACTTGCGTGGCGTTTGCCCGCCCCCTCCCCCCCTCCCCCCCCTCCTCTCCCCTCGCCCCTCTTCCATCGAATGCGAGCGTGCAAGTGTCTGTCGACTTGCGTGATTTCCGCCCGTCAAGTCGCTTGCGGCCTGCTTCAAGTTCAGCCGCCCCCCCCCTTCAATGCAAGTAAACTTGCCAGAGTCTGAAAAATCAGGCTCCTGGACCCTCTCCCGTCCTCTCCCCCCCGCCCGGGCGGCCAGATCATCCCCACGTGAGTAGGGGGGAGTCGGCCTTCGCCGCCTTTCGAGCACGCCAGGACCCCGCGCTGGCGGGGGGAAAGCCTTCCCTATGGTGACAGTAGGCTTTGCCTGGGCCTACCTGGTCCCAAGGTCTTCCGCAGGCCTTCCCCAGGCCTGCCCTGAGCCTACCTACGCCCTACGCCTTCCCAGGCCTTCCACGCGCATGCCCCAGGCATACCCTGGGCCTACCCCGGGCCACCCCCGGGAGGAGTGCCCCCCCCCCAGACACCCGTGGAGCGGGCGGGCCGTTTGTGGGGGGAGCGGGCGGGCCCGAGGGGGCCTGGGGACCCAGACCACCGACGGCATGATTCAGCCATGACGTCGACCCCCAGAGGTCGCGACACACTCCTCGGGACTGGCGTCTCATCCTGAGTCGTATCCTTGGCGGCCCCGAGGCCCGGAGAGGCCCCGCCAGAGGCCGAACGCATGGCGAGAGAAGCCTGCCGCCGTGATTTCCCCACGGCCCTTAAGAGATTCGGCGGCGAGCCCGGGGGGAAGCGAGAAGGAGAAGGCCTCCTCAGAAGCCTCGGAAGTCCCCCGGCCTTCTGAGAAATGTTCGAGGCCTCCCCCGAAGACACAGAAAACTCCTCGGAAGGCGCGCCGCCTTCTGAACAGTCCCGCCGCCTTCTGAGCAGGCCTTCTCCTTGACACTTCCCCCTCTCGCTCGCCGCCACGAGGGGGGCCTGGGGAGCGGGCCTCGCCGATGCATCGCCGGTGCATCGCCGGGGCACCGCCAGGGCACCGCCGGTGCATCGCCGCGATGCATCGCCGCGATGCATTGCCGATGCATCGCCGACGCATCGGCGATGCGGCGCGATCCTCCGGACCCATCCACTCCGACCCCGTCTACAGGAGGCCTCGGGCCTGCCCGCCGTGGCTTCCCCACGACCCACGGAAGGGGGCCCCTTGCAGGAGAGGAAAAACCCACAGACACAATGAATCCTCGAGTCCCCCGAAAAAATGTGGGAGAATGTGGGAAGTGGGGGGGAAGGCAAAAACCCCGAAAATATGGGAGAATAGGGGGAAGGAATCCTTTTGCTTGTGTGTATTTATTGGTGTGTCCTGGGGCCCCTTCCCTCTCTTGGGGAGGCGGGCCCGCCGCCCGCCGGCCCCGCGCAGCGCCGAGAGGCGCTGCCCCTCTCCCTGGGCGTGCGGGTGCGCGGCGGCGCCGTGGCGGCGCTGCTCCCGCGCGGCACGCCGCTGCCCGCGAGCGCCACGGCGCTGTTCACCACCACCGCGGAGCGCGCCGCGAGGGCGCCGCGGGGGAGGAGGAGGGGGAGGGGGAGGGGGAGGAGGAGGAGGAGGGGGAGGAGGAGGAGGAGGGGGAGGAGGAGGGGGAGAAAAGGAGGAGGAGGAGGAGGAGGAGGAGGAGGAGGAGGAGGAGGAGCGGGGCCGCCCGCCGCGGGTCAGGGGCTGCGAAAGCCGCGGCTGCTAAAAAATCGACCTCCGGGAAGGTGTCTTCGTCCTTCTGGGAAGCAGCCGTGGACTGGTTCGGGTGCCGCGCCTCATTCCGGGAAGCTGTTTTTTTTCTTCCGGAGGGCCGTTTTAGCAGCCACGGTTTTAGCAGCCCTCGCCCAGCTTCCGAGCGGGGGCGGGGCCGATGCGGTACCGCTACCCCCCCAAACCTCCTCGCGTCGCGGACAAGAATCACGACGGGAGGCTTGCTTTCGCTCTTTGCGGCCTCGGGGGCCCTTCCCGGGCCTCGGGGCCGTCAAGAAACGACTCAGGGTGAAGAAAACTGGTCCCTGGGAAGGGCTCCAGACCTTTGGGGTCGACGTTGCCCCCCCCCCCCCCCCACAAAAAAAAACGCGACGTCGGGGGAGTCTGAGCCCGTCGCCCGTTTTTGTTTCCCTCTTTCGGGCCTCCCCATGGGGTGCCCTCGTCGCCACCGCGGGATTCGCATGCAATGGGGGCCCGTGCCAAGAAACACCCTGCTCGCCTCCAGGGTGCCCTGGGTTTCTTGGGTTTCGATGGTTTTGTGATGGAAAGCGTGGCGTTCCCACACCAAAAACCAATGGACGTCCTGGGGTCTCAGGGTTGGGTTTCTTGTGGACGCTTTCTTGTGGACTGGCCCCCACTGTAAGAGTCCTGGTTAGAACGCGCCCCGGGAGCGGTCCCGGGGAGTGGCGGTATCGGTATAACCCCACGTCGGGGGAAGGAGGTGGTGGCTCGAGCAGTGGTCGGCTTCGCGCAGTGGGGGGTCAGGGGAGGAGTAAGGCTTCCTAGAAGCACCCCAGCTGCTTAGAAGGCGCGGGCCTGGTCTGCAGATGCAAGGCTGGCGCCTTCTAAGGAGCAGCCTCCTTCTAAGAAGCCTTCCCCCCTCCCCCTACCCCTTGTGCGCGCCGCCAAAGTGGCGAAGCGTCACGGCTTGCCTACAGGCGCAGGAGAATATTCTGAGAACCTTTCGTGTTTTGCACGACATGTTATGAGAACACTTCTGGTTGAGAGCGTCGTACTTCAACACACTGGCTTCCTATTATGACACATATTTATATAACCGCATGCCGATGATAATAAAGGGACCCCCCCTTCAGTGTTTAGAGTTGATTATCGTCGCCCTATACAAAATTCAAATTGGGCGGCGAGCGCTGAGGCCGAACTTCATTATCACCTCGAAACGCTATGTTGAGATAGCAACATCAAGCGATGTTGATATAGCAACATCAAGCGAAGCGATCACACTTTTTCAGGATGTGTCAAGCGAAACCAATAATTTTGGGAGGCAGACTCAAACGAAACGAGCAATGTTCTTATTATTATTCTACTTTCCTCTTCTTCTTTTATATTTCTATCTGTCCTCACGCTCGCCTGAACTTTTTTATCCCTGGGGTTGATTATCCATGGAAAATGAAGCACATGAGCTACCCTACACGAGCACTTAAAAAATCAATGTTCATAAAGCGTTTGTACATTAAAATTGATAGATTTGGAACTTTGGATTTGTCCTTTCTTCGTCCTCTTCTTATTCTCCTCTTCTTCTTCTTTCTTATCATTCTTCTACTGTAGTCTTCTTCTTTTATATTTCTCTCTGTCCCCACGCTCGCCTGAACTTGTTTATCTCTGGGGTTGATTATCCATGGAAATTGAGGCACATGAGCTACCCTACACGAGCACTTACAAAAAAACAATTTTCATGAGAGATAAGCCATTGTTGAGGATATTTCAATGAAAACTAACGCCAAGGATGTCTCAAAACGTGCTCGGCTTGGTCTCCTCTTGATCATCTCTTACTTCGAGATTATGCTGAGGTCTGCTGGGCTACTTTTATTATCTCTCCCTGAACCCCGAACTTTATTATCCCCTAGTGTTTATTCTCACGGGCATGAGGTTATATATATATATATATATATATATTATATCGGTCTGGAATCGTTCGTTTGGTCTACGATATATCGTTTGGGTATAAGTCGTTCTGGATCTATATGTATATATACATCGTTTGTTCTAGGACATATATATATATCGTTCTTGATATATATATATATGTGTATATCCTAGGTATATGTATTTATCGCTCGTTTGTTCTATGACATATATATATATATATATATATATCGTCATGTATATACATATGTATACATATACCGTTTGTATGTGTATGTATATATACATCTATATCGTTCTGAATCGTGGCGTGGTAGGCCTATAGGACAGGACGGTCGGTCCTTGCTAAAAGGGGAGGAGGGGGGCACCTCCAGGGAGGAGGTCACGATGCCTCCCCGAGCCATGGTGACAGGGGATGCCTCGAGCAGGAGGCGGGGAAGCACCACCGGGGGGACCCCACCTGGCTCGTCCCGCTGGAGCTCCCTGGTGGTGGCGGTGCCGCTTTTCCTTGCTCTTAGCGCGGTTTGAGGTTCGAGGCTTGCGGGCGTTATGGTCCGTGCTCGTCGGCTTTCCAGCCTCGGGGTGCCTTCCAGCGGCCGCACCTCGCCGAGGACGCGCGCGCGCGACCCCAAGGTTTGAGGTTCAAGGTTTGCGGGCGTGCTCGTCGGTTCGCGTCAGCTCTCAGGCGTCGCGGTGCCATCCAGCGGCTGCGCCTCGTCGAGGGCGCTCCGGAGGCGCCCGCAGCGTCCCGAACGGCCGCCAGAGAGCCGGGGCTGGCCTCGAAATTCAGCGTCCAACGTATTCCTGGCATCGCTTGGACGTGTGCATTTTTTTTTCCTCGGCGAGAACCATCGAGGACCATCCTCGACCAACGAGCAAAAAAAACACACGCACGAAACCGAAACATACACGGGAAATGGACGTCCGAGCGACGGCAAGTATTGAACAAGTCAAGACGGCCGTTTTTCGCCGCGGCCAGGCTCTTAAGGGGCCCTCGCCGGGCCCCAGGGCCGTCCGAGGACGGCCCAGGATGAAAAGAGCCAGCCATGGGGAGGGCCCGGCATCGAAGCAAGCACGTGTCGCGGAGGTGCCGGCCTCCGCCCCCCGACTGGGACCCTCGGGGTGGATTTCCTTTGTTTCGTCGTGGTCCGTCGTTCGTGTCCGTCGGTCGTCGGCGCCGTTGTCGACGGCGTTGGCGTCGTCGTGGGTCGTCGTCGTCGTCGTCGTCGTCGTCGGCACCGCTGCGGCGCCGTCGTCGTCGACGACGACCTCAGGCGTTGGCCAGGGCGTTTTTCCCACATCCTGAGTGTGGTTGATCTTTTCTCTGGACGCCCCAACACAGAAGCACAATCCTCACCCCCTCAGCCTCTCATTACCATCATCAGCATCGTCATCATCATCATCATCATCATCATCATCATCATCATCATCATCATCATCATCATCATCATCATCATTTTCCGTAGCCGCTTTGGCTCAAGATGGCGCGATTCAGGGCATGTGCCTGGTCCATGGGGCTGGCCCTAGCTGTCGTGCCATTCCTTTGGTCAGGTTCCATGAACTTCCAGCTATCAGCGCGGCCTGTGAGGCCCCTGTTTCAGATCAATGCCCAGATGTCAGCGACCCTCTCTTGGCACACGGCGTTCCCTCGGGAGCCCAGGGCCGCGCGCAGGCTCGACCGATGGGGCGCGGCGTGCACGGCAAGGGAAGGGCTGGCGGCACCGGCAGCAACAGCGGAGGAGGAGCCGGACAGGCTGGTGGAGCGCAAGCCAAGGTTTGGGATTGCCCTCGGAGCGGAACACAGAAGAACTGGGGCTTCACGCACATGTGCCACGATTGTGGATACGATTGGTGGAAGCAGGCTGCCTTGGAGCTCGTGGTGGAGTGGCACATCGCATGTCTCGGCGGTGGAACGGCACGAGCTCAGCCAGCCACGGGGGAAAGCCAATCAGATCCAATCAGTATGTAGTTTTTGTGTGTGTGTGTGCGGGGGCTCCAGGAAGTACCTGCTGAAGGTCAACGCAAAGGTAAACGAGTCAGACGTCATGGCGGACTACGCAACGAAACCAAAAGGTTCGAGGGCGCCGGCGGGGCGGAAGCAGTCCTGGAAGCCAGAAGACACGAAGATCGACAGCTATTGGCGGAGATAACGGTCGGGACGTCCACGTATGTGCAGTTCGGGGAGTTCGAGAGGAAGCTGCGCCCTCATAGGAGCACGACAGAGGCGCTGGCGATCCAGACCGGCACGACCAGAGAGGAGCTTCTCAACCTGCCGGGTGAGAAATTCGAATTGGACGGCAAGCGCACGCAGAGCATCGCGACCGAGAAGGAGATACAGGTTCCATCGATGGTTTGCTCGGCAAGCTTGCCGAGGAGCGGGAGGAGGGACGACAGGTCGGCAGCGATGACGGCGGAGGAGCGGCAGCGGCCCAGCAGCAGGAGCAGCAGCACGCAGCGTGGGAGTGGCTGACGGCCCCCACGCCGAGCCGCGCTCTGAGGTCCAGCGTGAAGCCATTATCTTCAAAGGTTTGGATGTGGCTGCTGGCGTGCTGGCTCCAGGCTTCGCAGCGCACTGGGAGCAGCAGGTGGCGCTTGCTCAAGGCATTGCCGCTGCGGGAGGGGAAACAGGAGGCGGCGCAGATGGAGAGGGCGAGAGCGGTCCTGAAGTGGAGCCCAGATTTGGAGAAGCAGACCTGGGGGAGCTGGCGGGCAAGATCACGGCTTCCGAGGGCGACCAGGCGGCGGGACAGGCAGCGCGGGAAGAAGGCACAGGCAGCCTCACCTGCAGCCCCCGTGGACCCAGC